GGGGGGGGGGGGGAAGTGAGTTTTCCTCAAGGTGTGAGGACAGAGAAAAGGATTCAGAACTCCAGCTGGATCCAATGAGGATTTTCAGGGCTTGTCCCTGATACAGGTCAGGGCAGGAGTGGACAACAAACCTTTTTTTGGGGAACAGAGAGGGTTTACCAGCTGGGGGCAAGAAGTCTCTTCTCCAGCTTCTCTAATCTGTCTGGAGAAGCTCATGACCATGGCCCTCACAACCAGTATGCCAGAGGTGGCAGTGCATGGTAACAACAAGGGGTCCCTGCAGAACCCAGGCACATAACACATCAAGAAACATGTTACTTCACCCCTATCCCTGTGTATTGTATAAGTAAGAGCACGAGCAAAGGTGTCTCAGAACCAGCTCAGCTCAAAACAGACCTTGGAGAAGAGTGATACTTGGGTCCCCCCAACACTTAGCAAACAGCAGGGCCTTCTTCACATGAATCTGTCGCTCTGTACATGATCCCAAATTCTCTCGGAAATGTGGTCTGGGATGTCTGCAGCAACCAGGACAGGGAAGCACAGGAACTCCCAAAATAAGCTTAACGGGGAGAGAGGGACATCTCTGGAGATTGATCCATCAAAGGGCATGTTTAGTGGGGAAAGTCTTCTGACTACACTGCTGGCTGTCTCTCCTCCCATCTCCAGAGCTGGGAATAAAGAGTTGCAGGAGTAGAAAAAATACTGAAATGAGGATATCAAAGACATACATTTCTAAAGGGTATGGGAAGGTAATGGGCTGGGAGAGGTGAGTAGGCAATAGGCATTGCAGCAGAGCAGTTACACCCGTGGGTATTTCTGGGTGTCCACAAAATGATCCTTACAACATGGCATACCTCTCAGCACTTGGAGAAAAAAACACAGCAGTCAGGAAATTTAGGTTTCACTGTCCCCTCTGCGTGGTTGTTTCTGCACAGGTCAGAGGTCTATATTACATTCATCCATACACCAACAGTCCAAGCATTGATCTTTAGGGAGTTCATGTCCTCAGCTGTGTAAAACGATCAGGATCTAACGTAATAATAACAATAATAATTCCAATAATAATAGCAGTGGGATTGTAGGGCCTCGGGCTGTGCTGCAAATGCCAGATACTCTTTTAAATCAAGTACTACTGTTTCCACCATCAGTGCCATTAACCTCACAGGCTGAGACGGCATTAAGACAGGTAGCCCTAGAAGACACTGTCTCTAAGTCTCTAAGACTTGTCTCTAAGTCTTCAAAAATCTGAGGGCCCTGACCTGCTGTTTGTGAAGCCATTAATTTAAGAGAGTCTAAGCAGGGAAAAAAACTCATGGAAAGGCTTCAAATACATCACTGTGGAATGATGATAGAAACGCACCATTGTGGAAATATGTCATAAGTATGACTAAACGCAGCATAAGGCCAACAGCAACATTAAGGTGGTGGAAAGCGTTTCACTTATTCCCATGCTTCCAGGAGCAATTGGCATCTTTGAGCTGCACGGAGAGATTATGAAGGGAAAGTGATCATTTCCTTACACTGGACTAGCCATGAAGGCACACCAGCTATATCTGAATGAGCAGCTTCTGTAGAAGTGGTGTCCATTAGTGCATTCCTCACTGCACTGAATTATGGAAGGAAGAACAAAAAGCTGAGCATGGGCTAACAGGAAAAAGGCATGTGCTCATTGGAGATGTGAAGTGAGAAGGGAAACCAATGAGAGATGTGCAAATAACACTGTTTGAGATGGCAAGATCCCTAGTCAAGCTGTTATACAACAGACTTGTTTAGAAAGAGAGAGGTTGCTACAGCAAATGGAAGAGAAGGAGGAAAAAGTGAAGAAAGAGAGGCAAAGTATTCCAGAAGCAGACTAGAACAGGATGGCATGTGGAGCAGAGCATGGCAAACCCAAGGGTGGCCACTTCCCTGGATCTGAAATAGTAGAGACTTTCAGAAGCCATTGTTGACTTGGGAGATTCCAGATAATCAGGATCTGATGACTGTCTCTCCCCTTCCAGTCAGCACCAATAGGCTGTCCTGAGCTGGAGACACCAACCTTCCCAGTGACAAAGCAGCACTGAAACTTCAGTCACTTTGGAAAAGTTTGACTGGACTATATGGCAGCACTTAATGCTGAAATGAGGTGACCAGCTTGTCTTCACCAGGCCCTGAGATCTCCCACCTCAAAGCAGCATTCCCAGAACACTTTCCCCAGCCACATCAGCTTGCGGAGAGAAAAAGTCTCCCAACCAGAAATGGCAAATTAGGAGAACATGATCTCTTCTCTGTGATGTCTAGCCTGAGCATCTCAGACACGCGCCATGCTGACGCCATCCCTTCAACCCAACCAAGACGAGAGCAGGCCAGGAGGAATAGATAGGGAGAAAAATAAATAACCTGAAGGACATATTTGTGGCATGACTCGGAAGGAAGACAAGCAAAAATTTCATAGAAATAGAGCATAAAGGAGGGGGAAGGGGGAGAGAAAGTTTCCTTCACGCACCAGAGCTGCTCAGGGGACACAGACTTAAAAATAACTTTGATTCCTGACCTATGATATCTTGGAAAAATAGCCCCAAATACTTCCAGGCTGTTCAAATTCTGAGAGCTGACATCAGCCCTATTCAGAGGGATATTCCCGTCGTCCCTCTTCTGGAGACATGATGTTTTTCTGGCTGTCGCCTGCCATTCCCTTGACACTAGCAACATTTTTTGTCAACCCTTAATTATAAATAACTGTAATTTCCTCCATTGAGAGATTTGGGTGGTTCAGGGCTGTGTCAGGCATAGGGGGAGCCATTCCATCACTGAGAGATGGTAAGATGGATGGAGACGGAGAGGAAAGGACCTTGATTTCACACATTGCAACATAGAAAGCACAAATATCTTCCTGCTAGTGTCCCCAAAGACACAACCAAGACCAAAGCAACTCTAGAATGGGCAACTCCAATTCCCTTCAATCCACATTTCCCACTGGCATCCTTAGCTTAGACAACGAGCATGTAACTGGCGTCTTTGCCTGTCACTTACTGACAAGGTCATGCTCTCCCTCTTCCTCAGTGCTTCTGTGATTTTCCCAGGGGAAGGCAGAGCAGCCTTTGGTCTCCACAAACAGCCTAAATGACAGCCCTCTGCTCTGCTCCCCAAATAGCTTCTCAATGCCTGAAAGACTGGAGTATTCCAAACTAGGTGGTATTTACAGCAGGGTGGACACTGCAAGCCAACACAAAAACACAAGGAAGCCCAGAAGGACACATGAAGGCACAGCTATCAGCTAAGCAGCAAAAAACATCAAGCTCAAAGAATAAGGCAGAGGATAGGAGACAGACAGAAAGGTCATCAGGTTTTTCAGATTCAAAGCAAATGTTTTTCCAAGAGCACCCAAAACTCATTGGTGAGAAGATAGCTGCATGGTAGTACCACCTTGATCTGGGAAGTATTTGCAACTCTGGGAGAGTGGAGCTTGCAAGAAGAGCATAGGCAACAGTAAAGACAGATTGGGGATGGGAAGACCATGGATTGCCATTATTAGAAATGAGTGTGGGGATTAACACCATCTGAAATTATGGTATTTGAGGGAACAAGTCCAAATATGAGGGCCTCCCTCATGACAGTGCTGACCTGTGATATTTTTGACTTAAAGTTCTGCTGAATGACACTAGCTGACAATCTGACTCTAAGGCAGGCTTAGGTACCACACTGCATACTGCTTTACTTGTGGGACTCATGGTTGGCAGAAAGCAAGAAGGGGAAGAAGCCTGGACCTTGTATTGCACTACAGCAGCACAATAGAACCACACTGACACTTGTGTGGTCCTGGTGCGGAGCTGGATCGGGAGCTTATAGCTTTGTGTGGGACTTAATGATGTACTGTCACCGTGTGACATTTCAGGCTATCAAAAAAAAGGAAAGGAAGATGAAGTACAGAAGCTTCAGTGACTGTGTCACGATAGAATAGTGGAATCAGAGACTCATAACTGTGGATGCAGAGGACCTCTACGGGTCATCTAGTCTGACTCTCTTGTTTAAAACAGGTCT